AGTCCCACACGTTAATTGCGGGCGACAAGACGAGCCCGCAATCTTAATCTCCAGGCTGTTATTAAGCATGCGTCGTATGTCTGTAGCCAGCATTCGTTTGGACTTGCACTAAAAATGAATGGAATGCTCAGAACGCAATTTGATCACGCGCTATTGGACCTTCTATCACTCGTGATCTGATCAGGGCGTGTGTTTTGACCGACTATCACGTGAAACTTGCGCAAAGCAAAGCGTCGTAGCAAAAGCGTTTTTACCTTCAATCGTTGTCACCAGCACTTTGTAACCTTTGGTTATTACTAGTTGATTGCCATTCAAATACAGTAAAATATAAAATGAATTTTTAATGATGAAGCTCTCTCCCTTCCTTCATTCCTAGTATTCGAACACAATGTAATCACAAATAAACCCTATTCAAACGATACTGCCTGCGATAGCTATCGAATAAAAAAACTTTCAAAAAGGACTGTGCAGTATACTTAAAAACCAGTATCTTGGATAATTAAGTAAAGAAATTAACAAATTTGAGAGTAAAACTCGTGGAAAGTCATGCAGCGATAAGTTGAGTTCAATACAAAAAATATTATTCTTTCTGTATACTTAAAAACAATAAATAAGCGCCAATATTGATATCTATTACGTATTTATTCTTTTTAAAAATGTTTAAGGAAATTCAAATAAATTTCAGCTTAACAAAATTAATCCTTAGAAATGTTGCATTATTAACGTGCGGTGTGCTTAAGAAGGGCAGGGTTTTTCAGTAATGCCACAGCAAGCAAAGCCTTTGCATATCTGTGGTCAATAAACAAAACAGCAAACGCTTGCATTTGTTTTGTCTTTTAAGATCAAGAACTTCTCTCATTATCTTTGCTGCAATGTTTTCTAAGTTCTTTTTTGGAGATTTATACCGGAGACGAAAGAAGTCTAAGAGCAAAAAAAGAAACAAACAAACAAACAAAAAGAGAAAAAAGTCAACACGATTTCATAAATTATAAATCATTTCCAATATTTTTTCAAGTTAACCTTTCGGTTAAATAGTTCTTAACGAAATAAAATAAACCAGAAGTTTGTTGAGGCTCATTTTTTTGTCAAACATATCTTATATATTCCTTTATGACTAGCCGATAGTTTCTTTCTGATTCGATAAGTTAAGGAAAAACTCTGAATACAGTTCCGTCAAAGTTCATGTTTCTGGTACTCTTCTATTAGAGCCAAGACAGAAAAATGGCAGGTTAGGCTTGCTCTTGTTCAGAGACTGAGCAACTGCGGAAGGTGGTTTTTCATACGCTCCATGCACTAGAGCAAGACTGAATTAAACTATTTAGATTCAGCGCGAAATTTTGGTGGCCTAGATTTGTAGTCTAGTATGTACTTTATTAGTAAATCTGATTGCAATGGCTGGACAGTGGAAGAGAGAAGAGAAACTTCAGGGAATTTTTTTTGTTCTTACAGTTCATTCAAGGAAAAATAAAGATAAATATCAAAATGTTCCTTTAATGCTGACACTGATATGAGATGCCCGGCTGATCACATGTTGATAAGCCGTCGTTTATTTCTGATTACGTTTAATTTGAATATGTAAACATTTCAATGAAAGAACTTTTTGCTTTAGACGTGCATCTTCTTTTGTTCATAGCAAAAAATATAAGAAAAATTACAAAACTATAAACGAGAATTGAATGAAGTCTGAAATAATCTACTTTTGCTTTAAATGGGAACGTTAAATATTCAGAATCCACCTTAAAAATCGCCAAAATGTGAGGATGTTTTGAAAATCCTTTTGTAAACGATACTAGTTTAGCTCCCAGACCTCTCCCGTCTTTGCTCATGTGCAGACGTTATTCAGCTCTGTCATGAAATACTAGAAAACAAGTGTTTGAACGCGACGACAATGGCCACTCCATTTCTTACGCAATTTCCCGCCAAGAAAAACGCGGGTTGCACAAATGTATCGCACGATTTCCCGCCAAGAAAATATAACGGACACCTCCCCCCGCCGGGCTGACACCTGATTCCCTTCCCTTCTCCCGCCCCCCAAAGAGTGTACTGGCTGGCGTACGCTGACGTCACAACCAAAATCTCCCGGATGGATGGTTTACCGAATTTTCTTAGCTATGGGGATCCGCTCGCGCGCGCGAGGGCGCCAGGTGCTGCGGTATAACTTTCCCAGTCCACACGTTAATAGCTCACTTCGTAAAAGAGTGATATCCTGGGGCCCAAACTAAGCGCAGGCATTTATGAGATTATTTGGGGACCCAAATGTAAGAGAAACATAGCGGAAAACGAAGTGGAATGTTTCAACAGGGTTTAAAAAGCTCAAAATAGCAAAACGGAAGGTGGAATTGGAAAAAAAAACATGAAAATGTGAAGCTGAAGGAAGAAGATGTGCCTGGGGAAATTTAACCTCGAGAAAAACCATAAGAATGCACCGTGAAACAGCTCCAGAGATGGCTTCTTTGCCGTGGAGCCAAAACAACCGGAAAGAAAACGCAGCTCGGACAAAGGTAAGTACGCGCGGACTGGGAAGTTCCTGAAGTTATTTGTGCACAAAAAACACATGTCAACAACTTGCATGTCTCGTCATAATTCAAGGTAGCTGCTCGACATGTTCCCCCAAACTATCCCAAAAATGAGCGTGCGCTTAGTTTGGGTTCCAGACTATCACTCTTTTAAGAAGTGCGCTATTGTGGGCGACAAGAGGAGCCAGCAATCGTAATCTCCAGGTTGTTGTTACGCATGCGTTGCATGTCCGTAGCCAGCATTCTTTTGGACTTCCACTAAGAATGAATGGAATGCACAGAACGCAATTTGATCACTCGTGATTGGACCGCTCGTGTCTTTGGTCGAGGACGTGTCGGCCTATGGTCGAAGATGCTCCTCGCTGCACGCGAGAAAAACCCTCTGTTACCCAGGGTATTAATGACAGATGATAATTTGTTTTTAATTACTCCTTTTAACAGATGCTGACTTACGAAGATGCTAAAAGGAGGTAAGTTAGAGAAGCGACAGTAGTTTTATTACGGTGGCCGAGTGCAACAGCTTCACAATATACAACGAGGCTGTTTCTACAAGTAATAAGCCTATAGTTTTAAAATTGATCTCGTCTTCAGAATTGCTCCTTTTTCATAGAGAACCGCCTTCTACGTAGAAGTGAGCATCCTTCAAAGAAACACACTTTTTCCGTGGAACTAATTAAACCTCTATCGTAGAAATGAGAGTTTCCTGAAGAAATGAACCTCTTCCGTTACAAATAAGTCCTCAACTCCTGTACCCCAACTCTCCTAACCAGTAATTTCAAGGTTGCAACTATTTTATTACAATCCTGTAGTTTATGGGTTACAATCACCTCACTGTGTTTATAAACCTGTAATTTGTAGGTTGGTAATCTCCCTTATACAAGTCAGATAGGTCTGTGCCGCCCCAAAGGGTATGTGGGCCTTTTCGGGCTGAAAACGGGTATAGACCAGTTGGTCTGATCTGGAATAAGGCATAGTTTTCGAGGGAACTATAGGGGAATGTATGAAGGTATTTGTCGTGTAAGTTCCAAATGGGTAAGAAAGAAACAAAAACATGCGCATTCGAAATGGATTTTAAGAAATTTTTTGTTAGCGTTCGAATCTAAGTGATGATGATATATTTTCTGCTTATGCAGCAAAATAACATATTTTGGTCTAAAATAGGGCCAGGATTCGGAGAACAGGGCGGCACATCCCCACCAAGAACTCCCAGGGATACCTCTCGGGGGCTATCCCTTCGTCGGAGTGAATCCTGTTGTCTCATCACAATATCAAAGACCTTGAAGTTCGTTGAAAATATTTCAGTGTTAATCTTCCTTTCAACAGTGTGCGATATGTGATGAAACACTGTCTCCTTTAGTGATGTAATGCTTTTTCATAATTTTTTCTTTTGCTCTGTAGGTCAGCTTGCTCAAGTACAGTAGAACAGTCACTCGACGAAGAATCCCATCTTTTTAACAGAGGAAGATATTGATAAGTTATCAATCATTTACGACTTTTACATATTTTGAGTAACAACAATTTGCCGTCTGTTCTCTTTGAAAAGACTATTTGTTTCGCAGTGTGGTCTAAATCGCTGTATTCTCCTTGTCGTGTGGTAATACATGGTGGACTGTCAAGTTCTGAACTATATAATAAAAGCTTATGTTCTCTGGGATTTCGTTCAGTTTTACTTGGAACATACCTGCCCATTTGAGGTGGGTTACAAATGAGTTGCCCTCGTTTGTAACGAGGGTGCCAACTCCACAACCCTTGACAGATGGGATATGGTTACTGCTTTGCTACGTTACTTTCTTCAATGGTTATTTTACATATCACAGTTCAAGTGTTACGAGACGGGACCTAGCTAGGATTTTCTTTCTTCATCTGAGAAGACTATAAAGTTTAACTCATTGCAAAACCAGAGCAAAGGCAGCGCATTTTTCCTCAGTTATCTCAATTGCGACCCTGGGGCTTACCTCGCCCTAGTGGCTCAAAAGGTGGATAGTGCTGTGCATCGAATAAATTACTATCCAATGATAAGGGACCGATCATTATTTATCGCCTGGGGGCGGGGAGGATTTTAGGGGGGATCACTTGATTTTTGGGAGAAAAAAAGGGGGAATCAGTCGTAATTGAGAACCCAAAAGGGGATATCGCTAAAAAGTTTGGAAGGATTCAGAGGGGGGACCACTCAAATTTGCTCGGAAAATGAAGACATGGGAGGGGGGATCGCAAAAGTCATCAAAAGTTATTAGGGGGGATCACTTCAGTGAAGTAACATTCAAAGCGGCGATTGGCTAAATTTGACCTTGTTCAGCGCAAAATGCGCCATTCACACAATCTGAACTCGAACAGGCTGAGTGCTATCAAACGTTTGAATAACAGGAGCCAATTCCGCACATGTCTTATCTTCTTTTAATCATTTTCTTTTAGCTTTCACGGCATGTCCCATCATCCACCTGGATACTGGTCTATAGTACAAATCAACATGGTATGAGCCTGAATATGCTCTATCATAGGCTGAGAGACGTGGAAACGCCTGTCCTATTGGTAGTAAAGGATCAAGAGGGATTTGTAAGTGAGCTCTATTTATATAGTGTCATTTGGAACCGATTTTCGTGTTAATCATAACTATAACAAATTCTCAAATCTGATTGCCTATCAACTGACGGTGTAATAGAACAGTACTGCCTAAGTAATTGGACAGTACGCGCCATCGTGCCACACTTAAATAGCTTTTTTTTTCACTGCTGGGCATAAAACTATCGGAATTTCTTGTGTTTTAATTTTTAAAAGCCTAATTAAAAATATCACAAATTTTGTTGTAGCTATGATTAATTGGTAAAAGAACTTTGAGTCGTCCAATTCGATCTGTGATGATACTCGTGATTTGACAAATCGGACTACCGCGTAAAACACTGATATGATTACAGAATGAATTGGACTCCATTTAGTCCTATTACCTTCATTAATTAATATACAATAGCATTTAGGAGTTTTTTCCATCACTCTTTCCGAATTTCCAATACTTTCTCTTCCTGTTGGTCTTTTAGTACACTTCGTTCGAATTTTTCAAAGAAAGTTAACGATAAAAAACGTTGCATTACACGTCATCATTGGAATTTGCCGATCGAAATCACTTTCTCAAGCTATATTATACAAGAGGAGATTTCTCCGGATTCATAAATGTGTCCGGATTTATTACATTTAGCAATAGGGTATTCGGACTCGTAGGCGTTTACACACATCAGCCAATCGGAGAACATTAATTCGTACTGTTCACTTTAGCTTGCGGATTCATATTTCTGGGCACGCGACCAAACCGGGATGTTTTTATTTCGAATTCAGGCAGTCAAGCTAGCGTAGACCTAGCCTCAAGCTTTATTCGTGTATCCCTGACCTATTTGACCAAATCGCCCTCATATCATTCATCGCCTTCTTCGAACGATTTCTGCCTCCTGCACAAAACATACACTACAGGTAACTTTCCACAAAAGTGACAAGGTCGCAAGAGATACAGATATTGTGTCCCTCCACCGCACACATACAAGGTTAATTTGGGGCGTCTATATAATCTTTCCAGTATCATACATTTTGAAAGTGAAATCCAATTCTTTTTGTTACCATTTGTTTATTAGGTGTTTGGTGTATTTTTTCCAATTTCTCCTCGGATGGACGCTAGTTTCTGTAGGTTTGGAAAATCATATTTCTTCACTTGTAGACCACAGTTCAAGGTAAGCTTAGCCATAAGACCGAAAACTAAATATATTGTCCAGTGTTTCATCTGGCGGACGACCAGTTCTTTCCACCAGCGCTTTTTCTTCACCTACGCACGAGACCCTTAAGACGTTTTTTAGTTTATCCGAGCAGTATACAGGACACATGTTAATGAATCTAGTGACCGACTTAGCTCTCAAACGGCTTTTCTCATACAGTAAAATGGTGGTATAGTGTTTGAGGGCTTAGACGTTTTCCTTTTCCTAAAAGTTACTCTTTTTTCCTACATCACTGTGATTCTTTAAAAAACACGACATAGTTATTAGCCCCATGTAAAAGAATCCAAGACAGTCTCGGATTCTGGATTCCGGGTTCTTTGTCAAAGGAACTTGGATTCCGCATTCCAATGGTTAGTGCCATTCCGGTTACCTTGAGCTGTATTATGGATTTCAAAATCCAGGATTCCAGATTCCACCAGATAAAATTCTCAAATTCCAGATTCCAGAACCAAACATTTTGTGGATTCCGGAATCTGGATTCCCTTACCTGGGGAAAAGTTATGTTCGTTATCGGGACGCACGTAGTCTCACCCTAGGTTCCAGAGGATATTTTTTTCTCATCGATATTGATGTTTGCCGCGTCAACGAGGCGCCAAGAGAAAAAAAAAGTCCGTCTCGGGAGCCTTATCAAACCGTTAGCACGGTTTATTTCATCTTGGGTATTTTAAGAACGGACTTCTGGAGCCAGGGTAACGTAGCCTCACAATATCACATGTAATTAGAGATACAGGTCTCTACATTGGCTTGGTTCTTTTTGTAGATTTATCCATGCCGTGGAAGAAATTCTTACTACATGACAGGAGATGCAAATGGACTTGCCTTCGGAAGCAGTGAGTAAGTGTTTTTCTTTTCACTGTTTTTATATTTAATGGCACTCTTCCCTTCCGGATGTTGACAAACAATACGTATACGTATACTATTTTGTTTATGAATTTAATGATGATTTGTAAATTACATCAATGAAATAAAACTTATTTTAATCGACAAAGCAATGATCTTCAGTCTCTAGTTGAGTTGTGTGTTGCTCAACCGAGTCGTTCCCAGGTCACGGGTAGGAAAGAACCCTTGGAACGAGGTTGTGTGTTGATGAGTTCATCTCTTTTACAGCCATTTTGAGAAAAGTGGTCGGAAAAAGTGCACGCGACAAGCCCCAAAAGGTATTGTGGCTGGTTTTGAGTTCACTCTCCTTCAAAGAAATTTTAAAGAATCGCATGAGAGGCCATGGACGTATGTTTGCGAGTGCTAAAGGAAAGCAACAAAAGTAGGCTCGACAGCTACAGCGTCAGGGATCATATCCCATATTACCTTTCGGGATTGTCGCGTCCATATTTTTTCGGACAACCTTTCTCGAAATAGCTGTATATTAAAGGGACTGGTTCACGATAATGCGCATGTGTGAGTTCTGACAGTAGCTGATTGTTTTTCAACCAATCGGAAGCGAGTTAGATGCATGCAAGTGAATTTACAAAATTCAAATTAATTGTTCGCGACGCGAGAGTATTTCCGGGCATTTGGTTTGATTTTATTTATCCTCATAATTCAAGTTTATTCTTTGTTACTCCTCAGATATATGTTGCAGCCGATAAGAATAAGATTAACAGCCCTGTCCTGCTTTGAAACAAACATTTACCAACGTGTATTTTTACGAGGTCGTACCCACACTAACAAAGCAGTCACCGATCGGCAAACAAATCCAGCTGCTGCACGAAGAAGCGAAACTCGTCTCGCTGCAGATCCGCTTAGTTTCAGAGAGGAAATTGAAGAGAATGCAGCGCAGCGTCTACCGCCAACTACAATCAAGAATCTTTACCCTGTGGAAGGAATACAAGTCAGGCGAGAGGACGAGCAAGCAGCTCCTACGGGCCTGCGCACGCCTGTATGGTCCACGCGACATATAATTCCTGTAGGTCTAACCGTGGTGTTAGACGTTGCACTCGTACAGGACCAAACGGCTCCTTTAGGAGCCACCAAATGAATAAAAGCAATGACCACACGATCAAATAATATTAGATATATTGGGGGCGAACTCGATTAAATAAGGAGGCGAAATAATGCAAGATATATAGGGGGGCGAACTCGTCACAAAGGAGGCGTACTCGATTGGAACGGGGCGAACTTTTGCAAGGGGCGAAACCACTTCCATTCCATCTTATTACTGTTCTCTCAGTTCGCCTTATATAAATCCAGAAATACCTACAAATAGCACCTGACCGGTGACAAAAACATACAACGTATGAGTATAAAGATTATCCTTAATTGAGCATAAATTTCAAATGCTTATCAGCAAATAAACAAATTCATTCGCGTTGCATCGGGTCAGTGTTCCGCAAAACAAATGTTATCGAGTAGCACACATAAAGAAACTAGATTATAAACAGAATACTCAGGCAATAATTTATTTTAAAAACATCAATTCTTAAACATATACGATCGTAAAGCAAAGATACAAGGAACATTTCAAGTGTACCAGATCGGTGAAGATCGCGCGGCCTGTTGCGGTATAACTACTTGTCGGAGTCAAAAATCAAATCAAAGTTGAACGAACTCATGCCTTTAACCGCTTTCCAAGTGTCGTATATACTTTTCGTAAGCCACACACTACTCCCAGAACCATACCAGATCGATAGGCTAAGCTTCTCTATCTCCAAAGACTCTTGAGAACGTCCTGTTGCCAGATGGGCACGATGCTCTTCTGAACCTCCATGATAAAAACCTTATTTTTTGCGTCTTCTGAAAACGTAACCAGTCAAACGACACAACCACACGTTAATCACCACTACCGAAGTATGACTAGACCAGCCAAAGCGACGGATGTCCGAATAAAACGAAGGATTTTCAATGATTGTACCGGTAATGGCGATTTCGAATTTAGTGTTGACCCAACAAATTTATTCTGAAGAGACAAACGGCGCGCATGCGCATTATCGTGAACCAGTCCCTTTAAAACCCTTCTTCGTTTGACTATTTTCATTTTTTTTGAGTCTAACTGCCTAAACCTCAACCCGCCTTTGTCCTTTGGGCCTTTAAGTTGGTCCAAAACTGCCCATATTGCTAGATGCAGCTTTTGGATCTGTCTTTTGATTTTATAACAGCTTTACATGACTTCGAACGACTTTTAGGACCAACAGCCCGTTCTATTATGTTGTGTTATGTTAGAAAAAATATGATGGGTCTGTTCACGCGACGAAGTACCAAGAACGGTTTTCAAAAGTCAGAACTGGCCGACCAGATGTCTGAGTAATTGAAACGTGGAACAAAAGTCTTTTCTCGAAATTTTTTCTGTAATCATAGGAGTGATTAACAAAATCGCGGGAGTCCGATTTGTTTAATCACGGGTATGATTACAGACCGAACTGGACGATACAAATCGAAGTTCTGTTACAATTTTATCATAATCATTACAATTTTCGAGAAAAACAACTGCATTTTGTTTTTGTGAAAGAGCTTTTAATACCAATTATCCAAAATTATGGAAAATATGAAAGAGACATTGTGTAATGTTACAAATTCGTCCATTTTTGCTTTGGTTATAGGGATAAATTCTGCGCTTAAACGTGTCCGATTACAGTCAACTGTCCGATTACAACCCTACACAATGATTGGTGAAAAATATAGCAGTCAACGCACCAATCAAATTTGAGGAAATTGTAACGGTTATGATTAATAGTGGAATTCTCTTTTTGATCGTGCTGCTCTAGCCAGCCAAAACTGACGAATAGTAAGCGCCCCTAGTATGCTGACGCGAGGACACAAAGAACGGCTGCGTTAAAGACTATGACGTACCTTGATCACTATTAAACTTTTGTCAATTTTCAGGGGGAAATTTGGGCTTTGGTTAGACAGTGATCTGTATCATGGTAGAAGCACTGCTTGCGAAACTTATGACAGCGAGATGCTTTCCGCCACAGAGGATTTCATTTGTCTTGGCGTTGAAGTCTGGACTTTTGGCTAGCTGGAAAAGCAAGATCAGTCTCTGTCAAGTGCCAAGGAGCAATCAGCCATATAATATGCGATTTAAGGTGACGTTACAGGGGACGATTCGCAACAACGATTTTTAGCGCAACACAGCGTTGCAACATTGTTGCGACGTTGATTCAAATGGTTGCAACATTGTTCCAGCATTGCAATGCTGTGTTGTTCAAAAAATAGTCGTTGCGAATCGTCCTTTGTAACATAACCTTTACGCTTTTCATATAAGGATACAAAGCAGCTGTCATCTTATTATGGGCGTGCCTAAAAGACTAGGGAATCTTTGGGAAAATCCAAATTCAAAAACGGAGCCAATGTTCATTTACTGAAATCCAGGAGAGATTAAATTTTTAATCTGAAGAATCTACAAACTGAGTGTATTCATTAGTCTTCCTCGCGGCCATTTTTAGGGTTGTCACCCAACGCTTCTTCTCCGATGCGTGACGACCTTAAAGGACTATGGATTCATCAGAACAGATCTTAATCTGGATTTTTAGGATTCATGACCCAGACTCAGCGTGCCTTTCTTTCCTCACTAGTCCGAAAGAAAGCACACACGGTGGCGGTTGGCCAACCACGCCTCTACGGTTCGCACCATATGCTAAACGTCCTAAAGACCCATTATCGGATTTTCCGTTTCTTTCGTTGTAACGAATTCAAATAACATGTGTTCGATAATGTAATTTTGGATTATCCCAAAGAAACGCCCGCTAATCATGTCAGCAATATCTGTCATGTGTTTGACCTTAAAAGGTGCGATCAGGACTTATGTAGATAATATGGTGGATATTATAGATATTATTGTGGATATGATAGTGTAGTAGATTAATCAAAGTGAAGGTATTTGCATCAAATCACATGAATGAGTGACCCAGGAGATATTAGATACATCCTGAGCTTTGGCTTGTTGTCTGAAATGCTGAATTACAAAGAAGTGTGAGTAACCGAGTAATCACGTCAGTTGTCGGTGACCACTGTCTTTCAGTTTTGAATAATTGCTAAAGGTAAAGCTTGACATGACGCATAGCGTGACTGTCACGCCCGTAGTATGTGTCGTGGTCTGTTGTTCAAGGTAGCGGAATCAAGCTAGACTACTCAGAGTCCCCTATTTTTCCGTAAGATCGTCGAGATCGAGCGCTTTGCGTTACGGGCGGCCATCTTGGATGCAATGAGTGTCAAATCTACTTAGGGGGCGGGGAACAGTTTGGGAGAAGGCGACAGAAGGACTCCCGGGGGGGGAACTTAGGTATTTTTTGGGTGGGTATGTGCCGCCCGGGACTCCAAATTGGCACCCCGTACTAAAAAAAGTTTTCCCTAAAATTGATACCCCATTCTAGAAATGGGCCAACTTTTTATACCCCGTTCTAGAATTCGCCCTAAAACTGATACCCCGTTCTAGAAATGGGCCAATTTTTTATACTCCGTTCTAGAAAGTTTGTAACTTGAAATTGCCCTGTTTTTTTTTAAAAGATATTTCTTTATTTGTTCGACTTATACATCAAATAAATGCTTCTTCATAATCAGCGACAATTTTAAGCAGAAGATAAAGCCGTGATCCACAATTTTTTATACCCCGTTCTAGAAAACGCCTCTGAAATGGATACCCCGTTCTAAATCAGGAGCTTCAAAATCACGACCCCGTTGGGCGGCACATACCCGTATAGGTAATGTATGGGAGTACCCCCCCCCCCCCGGGGAAGGACTATCCTAACGCCTTTTACCATCCACTAATTAACCAACCCCGCTTTAGATGAAAAACATACTAGACACATCCGCGTGTTTACAAACATCTCGTACCCAATTTCGAAACAATGATTTTGTATAATACAATTCACAGGGACATTGTTCCAAATAAAACAGGCAAACATGCACATTTGAAACCTTTTCCCAATCGAAGAGGCAATTTTTCTCGCCTCCTCTGACAATATCTCAAAATCTTATAAATATCTTTAAAAATATCCGGATATTAGTATCTAGGCCTAACCCGACAGCTAACCCCCCCCCCCCCCCCCTTCGGTACACAAGAAACAAGAAACCAAGATTGCTGTCCATACCGGTAAGAGCCTGCTCTTGACGACTGTGAACAGTCTAGAAACACCCGCAATAGTTAGAAGGGAGCTTTGCCATTCATGTAATTATTGGAAATTTTGGTATAAATTATCTTGGTCAACATGACAAAACAAAAAATTAACAACTGAAACTAAAGAGATATTTTAAAGATATTTTTGTTTCGTGAAATTCTTTTGGTGGAACAAAAAGATTTCTATTATACAGGCAGCTATAAGTGTAAAGAATATATTAATATATTTATACAGCATTTGCAAAGTATTAGTTTGGATGAATATTAAGTATAATTAAGAACGACTAAACACGTAGTTTAGTATAAATATCCATCGTTTGACGAAGATAAATTTATGTATTGCGAACCTATATATGTCGTGTACGAATAAATTACAACTGTAGATCATTTCTAGAAGGATAAGAAGCGTAGCGTGTTGTTTGTTCATGTTGATTAAAATGTCATTTTTAATTTTGAGTCGGGCGGTTTGGCTCGGACGATATGCCGACTGAAGCGTAGGCAAGAGATTATTCTTATCCAAATGAGGCTGAAGCTGATTCGAAACTGCTCGCTCAACTAACTTAGAAACAAATTGCCGATTACTTATAGGGCGAATGTTTTTGAAACCAAGTTTCGTCAGTACTGACAGAACTAAACTTCTGTAGACAGTAGGTTGAAGCTATACCGGCACCACAGCACCCCTGAACCCCAATTTTCTATCGGACCTTTAACAATTATTCCTCGAGTCCGAATGGCCTCTGAGTCAATAGCTCATGAGGCCGAAGGGGTTATTGACTCATAGGCCATTAGGGCGAGAGGAATAATTGTTTTAGTAGAATTCAACTACAGTGAAACCTCTCTTAAGCGGACACCTTCGGGACCTTTCCAAGTGTCCGCTTAATAGAGGTTGTAAAAGTTGCGCAATGTTTGTTAATGATCAACATTCAACGGTTACTCTGTACTGTGATAAACTTGCATGTTGTTAGAGAAGCTATCCAGAGTTCAAGTTCATTACCTTTCATTGCCAACTTTAATTTTTTTTTAAATGCAAAAACATTAACTGACTTCAGTACGTATTTCAAGGACGTAATCCAATATTACTATTGTCAATTCAGTCCGTTGTCCGCTTAATAGAGGTTTTTAACAATGGAAATTAGCCAAATACAACTTATTTTAGTGTCCGCGTCAGCTTAATAGAGGTGTCCGCTGAATAGGGGATCCTTATAAAGGGAAATATAAGACGTTAATTTCGGAACCAGGCTTAGTGTCCGCTTAATAGAGGGTGTCCGCTTGATTGGGGGTCTGCTTAATAGAGGTTTTACTGTAGTTGGTCAAAAATATCGAGACAAACCAACTTTACCTAGTTAAAGCTAAACTTGAATCCTTTTTTGCCGCCAAAAAGTCGGCGCTTTTCGCTACTAGTGGGCTATAACATATAGCCTAGTAGTAGCTCAACCAATCAGAACGCAGCATTGATAATAGACCACTAGTTGGATTTTACTAATTAACTTTATCCTCTTCCGTTTCTATGGAGAAAAGTTGTCCCGGGAAATAGGGTCACTGCCTGGCCTCCCAGCCAAGTCAACTTGAGCGTGCGTTTATATGACCCCTTTGCTTGAGCCAAGAGCTGACAACAGCGCTCACACATTCTCAACTTATTCATCTTGCGAGACTGCTTCATTCACGTAATTGAGAAGAATGGAGATGAGTCAGTTTGAGAGTGAGGTTGTTATTAAGCATGCGTCGCATGTATGTAGATAGAATTCGTTTGGACTTCCACTAAGAATGAATGGAATGTACAGAACGCGATTTGATCACTCGCGATTGGACCTTCTATCACTCGTTATCTGATCACGCGTGTTTTGACCATCTCCACGTGAAACTTGCGCAAAGCAAAAGCGTTTTGACTTTCGATCGCTGTCGCCCACACTCAGTACCCTTTGGTTATTACTAGTTGATTGTCATTCTAATACAGTAAATTAGCAAAACTCGGGAAAGTCACGCGGTGATCCGTTGAGTTCCATATAAAAAATATGATTTTTTCGGTATACTTAAAAACAATAAATAAGCGCCCATACTGATATCTGTTGCGAATTTATTTGTATAGGGAAATGCATTTAATCCTTTGAAACATTGCATTATTAACGAGAGATGTGCCTAAGAAGTTAATAGTTTGTTTCACGTCGGTGTTTGCCGTGCGTTAGCTCTGGGACATATTGTAACGAGGATGAATGCTGTGTCGTGACACATCGCGTGGCAGACATTCGCGTCGCTGGGCTTGTTTACGTTCGCACGCATTGCGTGCCTATTGTAACTACTCTATTTGGGCGACGCCCAAATAATAAGACGCGGAAAAAAAAGCTTAGCGACCGGGCGTCGGATTCGAAGTAAGAGCTTCGTGTATTCATACAACTAAATTTTATGCCCTGGAGCTGGGAAAACTCTCATATATATCGATTCATGATCATGTCGTGTATACTGAGTTTTTATTATCACATGTTTTTTTATTTTCTTCCGTGATTTGAATTTTCTATGTGGATTACATGGGTATAAAATTTCGCGAGAATGTTTATTTGCGGAATCTTTAATTTCGAAAATTCTTTTTTACAATCGCGCAAAACGCTAAAGAACCACATAATTAAGTGCCAATAGGGTCTAAATAAATAATTAAAAAGAGGTAGTTTCATTAGAAAATGAAACACGGCCTTACATCATATCAGGTTACTCTAAAGAGTAAGATAGATAAATAGCTACCGGGAAAAAAGTTAAAATATTTTTAAAGAAAGTCTTTAAAAGCCATTTCCTTCTCTTGACTGTTTAGTTTCTTAGCGTTTGGACCGCAAGGAAGAAACCACAATCAGCGACAAAATTGGATGAGACACTTTTCCCTAAAAGACCTTTCTGCCGTTTTACTGACTCTAAAA